AAAGCTGAAGCTGATGCTTCACTTTATAGCACTGACACCAGACATGAGGGAGTACGTTACCCTTAAACATTGAAAAGATATTAGGATATTACGACAATATTACTCTTAGAACATTGCAAACTAATTACTATTTTTTTCATGAATATGACTTAACCTGATGGAGGATGCGCTCAGTCATTCAGGCAGTCTCTCTCTCTCGCGCGTGCTGTTTAGGCATGTTTTATGCCGTTGATCGTCGTTGTCATCCTCAATAAAAAAAAAAACATTTCTTCACGCTAGGGTGTCGGCGGTGAATCCAGTGGAGAGAAATCCCCCACAACTAACTGCAAACTGGCATTCAGAGCCGGACCCAGCATCCCCGTGGAGATCGTGGGTTGGAAAGATCTTCCCTCTGCTGGTGAGGAGATCCTGGAGGTGGAATCAGAGGTATCATAAACTTTTTAGAGAGCCATATTCTACATTTTGTAGCATTTTGTGTGATATATGTTACACACTACTGGTCAAAAGTTTGAAATCAGTACGATTTTTAAATGTTTTGAAAATTTGAAAATTTTCTTATGCTCACGACCAAGGCTGCATTCATTTGATCAAAAATACAGTAATATTGTGAAATATTATTACTATTTAAAACAACTGTTATTCTAAAATATTTTAAATGTAATTTATTCCTGATGCAAAGCTGAGTTTTCAGCATCGTTACTCCAGTCTTCAGTGTCACATGATCCTTCAGAAATCTAATATGCTGATTTGCTGCTCAAGAAACATTTATTATTAATGTTAAAAACAGTTTAATTCTGCTTAAATCTTTTAAAACTGCGTAATTCTTGTGGAAACCGTTATACTTTTTTCAGAGTTCTTTAATGAATAGAACATGAAATAGGAATCTTTTGTAGCATTATAAATCTCTTTAGTGTTACATTTGATCAATTTAATGCATCTTGCTGAATAAAAGTATTGTTTGTTTAATCTTACACCAAACTTTTGAACAGCAGTTTCACAGTTTCTACAAAATTATTAAGCAGCAAAAACTATTTCTAACGTTTGCTATTAATAAAAACTGTTTCTTGAGCATCAACTCAGCATATTCGAATGATTTCTGAAGGATCATGTGACTGAATCCAGTGGAGAGAAATCCCCCACAACTAACTGCAAACTGGCATTCAGATCTGCCTCCATTTTGTTAGCAACGCCCCAGCTTCCAACGATCCAATCAATTCCCGAAGGATGAAATTAAGTCCCGCCCTCTCATTTCAGATGCCGTTTCACTCGGATATACGTCACAGCACAGAAGAAAAGACAATTGCAACTTCCGTTTCATGCCGACTTTAATGCAATTTGTTTGAGCGGCGCCCTCTACTGTACAGACATGAATTTACATTTCACTTCTGTTGTGAAAGGGCTTTTACATTTGTAAAATAACTTTTTTATATTAAAAACAAACAAGCAAGCCCTGCCCAGATTTAAAAAGTAACTCAAAAGTAACGTAACGCATTACTTTGCATAAAAACAGTTTAATTCTGCTTAAATCTTTTAAAACTGCGTAATTCTTGTGGAAACCGTTATACTTTTTTCAGAGTTCTTTAATGAATAGAACATGAAATAGGAATCTTTTGTAGCATTATAAATCTCTTTAGTGTTACATTTGATCAATTTAATGCATCTTGCTGAATAAAAGTATTGTTTGTTTAATCTTACACCAAACTTTTGAACAGCAGTTTCACAGTTTCTACAAAATTATTAAGCAGCAAAAACTATTTCTAACGTTTGCTATTAATAAAAACTGTTTCTTGAGCATCAACTCAGCATATTCGAATGATTTCTGAAGGATCATGTGACACTGAAGACTGAAGTAATGATCCAGAAAATTCAGCTTTGATCACAGGAATAAATTACATTTTAAAATATATTCACATAGAAAACAGTTATTTTAAATTGTAATAATATTTCACAATATTACTGTTTTTGTTGTATTTTTTTGTTTGTTTTGTTGTGAGCATATGAGACTACTTTCAGAAGCATTAAAAAAAATCGTATTGATTCTAAACTTTGGACCAGTAGTGTGATATGTTATGACTGGCTAACCTCCATGCTGGCATAGTTCACATAGATTTTTATTTATTTTTTCTCTCAGCAAAGGGCCCGTGAGGTGGTGGAGTGGCGCAGCTACATGGAAGAGCAGGACAAGATAAAAGAAGACCAGCAGGCCATCGAAGCCAAGCAGAAGCAGCATCAGGAGAGCTATAATAAGGACAGGGAGAGCATGGCCCAGGGCTTTTACATTTGTAAAATAACTTTTTTATATTAAAAACAAACAAGCAAGCCCTGCCCAGATTTAAAAAGTAACTCAAAAGTAACGTAACGCATTACTTTGCATAAAAAGTAACTAACGTAATTAGTTACTTTTTTAGGGAGTAACGCAAAGCTGTAATGGATTACTTTTAAAAGTAACTTTCCCCAACACTGGTAATAAAAAGCATAAAACAAGAACATTCAGTTTCTTCTAGAGTTATGGAATTTAATTATTTGATTTTTTTTTTTTTATATGCTGCCACTCATAGTTTCTGTAAGTATGAAAGTTTGAAAATGAGCAGCTTTGTAATTACAGCAAAATTTCCAGAAATATCTTGAAGACTTTCAAATATCATCCTTGATTTAGAGCCCTTAAATGAACTATTGTTTTAATTTTTGGTTTGCCTTGTCAAAGTGTCAAACTTTCTGCCATTTTCTTGAATTCTCTCCTTATCCCCCTCATTGTTCAGGAACCATATATGGGTTCAATGTCGCTGCAAATAAATCGGTTCAGCAGATGGCTGCTAAGAAGGGCATTCCCTTAAGATTACACAGAGTCATCTACAAACTCATAGACGAACTCAAAGACGACCTGAGCAGCAAACTGCCTTCAACCACAGAGGAAACTATAATTGGTGAGTTTAACTTTAATGTCACATATTGTTGATTTTAAACTCTATTTATTCTATTAAAAGTTGATTCTTTAGCTTCGCCAGTCATGCTTCCCTTACAACCAGGCCTAGATATAATATATACAGACTTTCCTGCACTGATTTTGATCTGCAGATTGAAACATAAACATAGTAAAATGTGTTAAGTTGAGCTGAGAGTGCTACAATCAACATTGGTAAGAAAGCATGACCAATTAGTCAAAATGCTTCTGTGAAATGAACATCCCAGTTCTGCAGGTGGAGATTCCATGTGGTTTTGTTTGTTTTGTTGTGAGCATATGAGACTACTTTCAGAAGCATTAAAAAAAATCGTATTGATTCTAAACTTTGGACCAGTAGTGTGATATGTTATGACTGGCTAACCTCCATGCTGGCATAGTTCACATAGATTTTTATTTATTTTTTCTCTCAGCAAAGGGCCCGTGAGGTGGTGGAGTGGCGCAGCTACATGGAAGAGCAGGACAAGATAAAAGAAGACCAGCAGGCCATCGAAGCCAAGCAGAAGCAGCATCAGGAGAGCTATAATAAGGACAGGGAGAGCATGGCCCATCTCTCCTGGAGACAGAGGAGGGCGGCCCTGTACCGGGCCAACAAACACAAACTCTCCCACAGGCTCAGTGAGAAAACAGAGATAGAGGAACTCACACTGCCCATCATCGTCAAAGGTGAGATGATAGATCCTCTGCTTTAAGAAGAGTATGATCATTTGAGCAAAACATTCAAGCCAAAATGAAATGCATGATGAATTGTTTACAATAATATCAATAACATGCATTAAATATATAGATAAGGATGATTTCCATTTCATGGTTGACCAATAATATTTCATGATGGGCAAAATGAAGCTCCACACTATATTATTTTAATCAGAATGGGGTATTAGAATGCAGAGTGCTAAGTACGTATTGTGTGACTGGCTGCACTTTTTTAGGTGATGTTGACGGCTCAGTAGAGGCTATTTTGAACGTACTGGAAAGTTACGATGCTGATGACCAGTGCGAGTTGGATGTGGTACATTTTGGTGTGGGCGACATCTCAGAAAGAGACATTAACTTGGCAGAGACGTTCTCAGGTAGGAATCCACAACAGCCAATGGAAAAGAAATCACTGCTTTCATTCATTCAGATCAGTGCTTCTCAACCAGAGACCCCCTGGGGGACTTCTACACACTTTTCTAAGTGCCGTAAAACAAATCAAATTAAAATAATTTGAAATGAGCTATAACAGCTAAAAAATAAGATAAAAGCTTCATCATATTTGTTATTTAATTCAACAACTGTATTTTTATTTAGGAACCAGGTTTCAAACTTGGGAAAACCTGGATATATGATGAAATTTTAATGTGTTATTTCTGGAATATTAATGCAATTTTAAAAAGTCATGGCAATTTGCATAATGAATATAAATGGTTCTAGTTGCAAGCTCCTTGCAAAAAAAAAAAAAATGTATCACAAATGACTAGAAAAGTTAAAAATCAGACTTTTAAAGTTATAGAAATTTGTCTGTGAAATGAACATCCCAGTTCTGCAGGTGGAGATTCCATGTGGGCCTGCTGACGAGTCACTGACTTCAACTTAAACTAGTGCTGTGTAAATGAAAGAATGAGGTTGGCTGTCTTTCTTGCCCTTGAACGTTGTGTTTTCTCCCTCGCACTTCAGGTGAGGCCTCGGTTCTGGCCACATTTGATGTGACGGTTGGGAAAAAGAAGATCCCAGTGGCTGGCTGTAGAGTTCAGAAGGGCCAACTGGACAAAAAGATGAAATTCAGACTTGTTCGAGGGAGAAACATTCTCTGGGAAGGTAAACCTATGCCAGTTAGCTGTGTTAAATACACATGCTAATATAATGTTTGAATGTTTTTTTTTCTCCATGCATTTGTTTCCTCCTTCAGGATCCGTGACAACACTGAAACATCTGAAGGATGAAGTTCTGACAGTAAAGACAGGCATGGAATGTGGCCTTTCTCTAGATAACGAAGAACTTGAATACAAACCTGGGGATGAAATTATTTGTTACAGTCAATCTGAGATCAAACAGAAAATTTCTTGGGATCCAGGATTTTAAGGGACTGCATTTGGCGCATCAGTATACTATGCTGTGTAGTTTACATGCACATATTGTAGCTATAACAAGACTAGCTGTAGCAAACCTACACAGTCGCCAACAGGTAATTAAAAAAAAATAAAAAATGTAAAATTTGATTGTCTTCATTTTGACTCTAGATATCAGGACTGAAATAAGTGTTCATAATGTATCTTGTAATGTAAATAAAAATGAGGAAGAGTCACATTTTCAAAAATCGTTCTTTTGAAAAGTATTATGATTTTCATCCTACTTCATACATTAAATATATGAAAACTTATCGCACAATATAGCTTTTGTAATACATTGAACAATACATGAAATATATTTTTAAAGTCTGGATGGAAATGAAATTCCTGGGATATGGGGCAAAAACACCACACACATCATATTTAAGGTAAATAATTTAAAATAGCTCAAAATCAAGATATAAGATAACATTAGATCTTATTTTAGTTTGTTCCCTCAACATGTCATTTTTAAGAACCAGGGTTCCCAAACTTGGATATATGAACATTTTAAGTGTAATTTCTTGAACTGAAAACAAATTTACAAGTTAAAAAAAAAATTATAGAATCTTGTCATGTGCATTTTATAATAAATATAATTTTTTTCTAGTTATGTCAAGCTCTAAAATATTTTATTGGGTAGAAATAGCTACTCTTCTGAGGGGGAAAATAAGTGACAGGTGACAGAAAAGTCTACATTCATTGGTAATTAAAGGTGTACACCTTGAAAAACAAACACTTCAGCTTTAAAAATAGGAACATTTTTAAAAAATAAAAATGCATGTTATATTTAAGGTAAGAAAATAATATTCCAGTGCAAAATGAAGGATAACCCATCTAAAATAGACTTTGTATTCTGCATGTCGTTACCAAGAATCAGGTTTTTTTTTTTAACATGATCATTTACCATCAGTTTTATCCAACTTCTCACTTCAGCATATTAGATTGAATGCCTAATAAAGTTAAAACCCCAAAAAGTGATATTAATCAAGACTCAAGAGATTCATTTTTGAATGTGGCAGGCCAATTTTATTTACAAAGTACAAATTCCAGAACAGACAATCTCCTGTATTACACAGAGCATGTTGTCAGGACTGTACTTCACTTGTCCTCCGGTTTGTTGAAGCAGTAAGTCAGGCAGCACTTCCCGCAGTAATGACGGTCAAAGTGGCTGGCCATGAACACCCCGGCTCCACACTCATCTGCTGGACACTCACGGCGCAGCCGGTGGATCTTGCCGTTCTCATCAACCTGAAGATCAAGACAGACAGCATGAAATCATACTAGCAACTCCCAAAGCTGAATACAGAACACACACAGCTGGCAAAAAAGACTTGAGTTTAGAAGATGTTGAATGTCACTGTTGAAACTGACCTTGTAATATTTCAGCACAGCGAGCTTGACCTTCTTTCTCTTGTGCTTGTTCTTCTTGGGGGTGGTGTAGGACTTCTTCTTCCTCTTCTTGGCACCACCACGCAGTCTCAGCACAAGATGCAGTGTGGACTCCTGAATGCATGACCACAACGAAGTTAGTTGAAGTGTATTACATGACAGGAAAAGCAATGAACCTAACGTTCTATATGACTGCACCATTATTCACTAACCTTCTGAATGTTGTAGTCAGACAGGGTGCGTCCATCCTCCAGCTGTTTGCCAGCAAAGATCAACCTCTGCTGATCAGGAGGGATTCCTGCATTCAATACATATAGCAGTCAGCCTTTTGTCATACCATGTGCAATGCTGTTAAGTGTGTATAATTATATGCATGCACTAGTCAACATTTGAAGTGGATCAAAACCTGTCTTAGGACAACTTTGATGAACTTCTTTATAAATAAAAGTTTATACACACATATATATATATATAGCAGGGAACTTACCTTCCTTGTCTTGAATCTTAGCCTTGACATTTTCAATAGTATCAGAGGGCTCAACCTATTAACACATGTAGAAGAGATAAATATTTGTCTGCACCTAAACCAATAGCTATTTATCATTAATGTACAGGAGATCAAGGGAAATCTAACTTTAACTTTTCCGAATCACAAACCACTGACTCTGAGGTCTAACCCTGATATTTTTGGTGTTTTGAACACATTTTGAATTTAAAATGATATCGTCTTTGAAATTATTAATCTGATATCTTTTTTTTTTTTACACACATGTAGATAATTAATTCTTACACTGTAACTGACACCTATTAATATTGAGGCTGTGAACTGAAGGAAATTTTTAGTTAAAACTGCATAATTAAATTAAAATTATTTCTATTAAGTATTCAATTGTATGCACATTTTAGTGATACGTCTTTGAAATTATTAATCTGATATCTTTTTTTTTTTACACATGTAGATGATTAATTCTTACACTGTAACTGACACCTATTAATATTGAGGCTGTGAACTGAAGGAAATTTTTAGTTAAAACTGCATAATTAAATTAAAATTATTTCTATTAAGTATTCAATTGTATGCACATTTTAGATGCAATTCACATTCATTTCCAATCTCTACTGTACGAACGTAACGTTAGCGGAGCCACGACTTGTCGCTAGCATTATTTAGGGCTTCCGTATAACTATACAAATACAGCATTTACTTACGTTATAACCCTACCTATCCTATACATTTATACTTAAAGATTCATATAACGCAATATAATTAGCCCCGCATTGCAATAAAACAAAAGATGAAGTATCGAATTCTCTCGAGCCGAGCCGTCTATGCCTCACCTCGAGGGTGATGGTTTTCCCCGTTAGGGTTTTCACGAAAATCTGCATGTTTGTGTTCAATCCACCTGTGTATAAAACAGAAGTAAATGTTTCTGGGTCATTTTAAAGCATTTAAATATGCGAATATCATATTTATTTCGCCATTATTCGTTCGTAACAGTCACTCACCACCAGCTCTTAGATGGCGGAAATCGAAAAGGGTCCTTCAAACGGTACAACGTGCTCTTCAGCGCTGTAAGGCTGCCCGACGAACTGCCTGAAGAGAAAAAAAAGCACACACAAAGTGATTTACTGTAAGTATTTAACAGTGTTAATATGTTTCATTTCAGTTTTTAACTAGTAGTATATACGCCGTTATTTTAACCAGTAACATATAACTGTTATGCTATAGCATTTTGTATTTACATTTTATTAAGCTGTTAAAATCGATTATTTTAATGATACTGAACACATTACACTGTCTGCAGATTCAAACATATGTCGACTGATAAATGTGTATTTCTACAGCTAAAACTTCGGATTATTAGAAGTCTGTTTCCTCAAAACACCTTTGCACCATAGAACAAATAAAATCTCATGTTTTTTTATTTTGTTTTAATTAATAGTATTTAAAAACTTTGCTGCCTAAGTGTTGTTTACTGCTTCGATTATATTTTGGAATTCATATCTTGTTATCATGAGGATGAACGGCAGAAATGTATATCCGGCACCAGGGGCGCTATAACAAGTGGCACTACATACATGTTGAAAGGAGAGGATTTGAGAGTTGCGCACCAGAAATTAAAATGGATTCAGTTGACTCACTGTGGTCACTTGGTGCATTCTCTGGGCTTCAAGCTCTTTCATATGCATGCAGTGTCCTACAAAGTCTTCCTGACAAGCATGCTAAGGTTTTTCTTCCTCTTTGTTGTAGGCCTATTACATAATACATCCTTTGCAGTCCCTGATGTAGCATATGGTCTTTGGCCAATATACCCAGTTAACTGCACAACACTTCTTATGTGAATATTGTGTAATCTTGGGTTTGTAACCAGAGGCAACAGCCTGTGCATAACATGGCTCCTGTTTCATCTCTCATTGCCAAAAATCTAATATTTTGCTCTGCAGAAGCAGAATGAGGAAATTGAGCGCTTTGTAGTTGTGCATCCAGAGCTGAATGACGTGAATTTCTGAACAGCATGTTCCCATTTAGACGTCAGCACACCATTTAAAAGAATGTAGCACAACTATTTACACATGAAAATGCAATGGCCTTTAGATACGAAACAGGTGACCCAGCAGGCATGAGTGATTACTGTTGACATCTAGGTGATACATGTTGTTATAGAGTTGCTCCATGAAGAAAGCAGCCAGTGCAAGCCTGCAAACTGTGTGTGCCGTGACACGTAGTGTTCCAAAAACAGGACTGTCTCCGCCTGCCCTGTGATAAATGCTCAGGGGGAAGGAGCAAGCAGATACAGAACACAGCTGAGAAACAAGGTTGGAGTCAGATCTAAACAGCAGTGTAGGAGTCGTAGATCTGACATGAGAGCAGAGAGCATGCACTATTTCTGCATCTATGAATACTCCCAGACAAAGGATAACAGCTGATAAAAGTGCTAGATGGGATGCATTGCATACTTTCACTAGATGTACACACTGCACTCACTCTTTGAAACTAATGCAGTTCACCCAAAAATGAATGTGCTTAAAATTTACTCACCCTCAGGCAATCCAAGATGTAGATGTGTATGTTTATTCATCAGAACAGATTTGGGGAAATTTAGCATTACTTCACTTGCTCACCAATGGATCCTCTGCAGTGAATGGGTGCCGTCAGAATGAGAGTCCAAACATCTGATAAAAACATCACAACAATCCACAAGTAATCCACACCACTCCAGTCCATCAGTTAACGTCTTGCGAAGTAAAAAGCTGCATGTTTGTAGCAACAAATCCATCACTTCTGACCAAAATATGAGTTCATAATAACGCAAAAATACAAATCCATAATAATGAATCCTCCAGTGAAAAAGTCTATCCCCTGTTGTCCTCTCACATCAAAATCTACCCAGAACTGTTTTGAACTGTTTTATAAGTAGTGCTTCATCTGTGCATATTTCTCTCCTGATTCAGACGAGACAACTTTTTCACAGGAGAAAGCAATATTATACAGGGTTTTAGCATTTTAGCTGGAAACGACGGTTTTAAGATAAAAATGTCTTAATTATGAACTTCTTTATTACAAGCATGCAGCTTTTTGCTTCAGAAGGCGTTAATTAATGAACTGTCATGTTGGTTACTTGTGGATTACTGTGATGTTTTTTTGTTTTTTTCCCCCAGCTGTTTGGACTCTCATTCTGACGGCACCCATTCACTGCAGGGGATCCATTGGTGATTAGCCTAAGTGATGCAATGCTAAATTTCTGCAAATTTTCAATTTTAGGTGAACTATTCCATTAAACTTTGGTGGAAAATTAATTTAATTAAACACTCATTTGAGTATTTAAGCACTTTAAAGGATAGTTCCACTGGCTGTTGTCAATCTCACGGATTATTACAATTAATGGCAAAAAATAATGTTTGGAAAATGACACACTAGCAAAAGATTTTTTGTAGCATTTTTATTTCAGTTTTAGTTTGAGTATTTTTCAGTGCTTTAACTTAGTTTTAATTAACAATAACAAAATGAATGAGGGTAAGTAAATAATAACAGCATTTTCAATATTCTTTCGCTTATAACACACTGTTTACTTTTCATTGGGAGCTTCATGCATCATATCCTAAATCTTACATTTAGGATATGATGCATGAACATTCAGTGTAGTAACATCTCAGCAATTATAATGAGTCTGATTTCTATCAACAAGGCAGTTCCTGGTGAAATCCCCTAAGCTTTGTGTCTTATGTAGAATTAAATAGTTGAAGATAAGCTTGTGCAGTGTAATTGTTTGCTTATGTGAATGCTGTTCATTGCCACGTGAAGCCACACCCCTGCTGTAAGTGAGTCTTGACGGGTTTTAAGTGAACATCACAGTTCATTGCCCTGCAAATTCCACTGTTAAATACCAGTCAGATTCTTCTTCCAAATTTGGAACAACAAACCCGCAAAACACCCTGAACAGAAGAAGACTAATGTTACTCTCAAAGAAACCTCCTGAAATATCTTGACAGAGAGAAGGAGCCACAATAATCCATCAGTTTTCTATGAGTGGGATGTCTCTTCCTCCCTATACTACTTTTTTTGACAGTTTACATTTCAGGGACTAGTGTAAGGATGACATTTAACTGATTTGCTTAAAATCATGGAAATTTGTCATTAAAAGGATAGTGCACCCAAAAATTAAAATTCTGTCAACATTTACTCACCCATCAAATTGTTCCAAACTTCTATGAGTTTCTCTCTTCTGTTGAGCACAAAAAAAAAAGTTATTTTGAAGAATGTTGCTAACTGAACAGTTGACGGTAGCCATTGACTTCTAAAGTATAGGAAAAATACTATGGAAGTCAATGGCTACCATCAACTGTTTGGTTAGCAACATTCTTCAAAATATCTTTTTTTTGTGTGTGTGTTCAACCGAAGAAGAAAAAACTCATAAAGGTTTGGAAAAAGTGGTGAGTTAATGATGACAGAATTTGGGTGAATTATCCCTTTAATAAGCCTATTTTTATTTTCCATTCTAATCACCGATGTAAACAGCAATCGGCTGCTTAAAGCCATGCTACAGTATGTTGGGAATTTAAACACTAAATCCAGGATATGGCGTGACCTTACTTATAGGTGACCTTCATTGCTTAATTAGAACATAACACATACATTATTAAAATAAACAATTACAATGAACCTTAGATCATCAAAGATCATGATGATTGTGAATGTTTAAGAAAGGAAGGTCTGGGAGACTCCCTTTTCCCCTACTTAGTATATGACTAAAAGATGATAGCACTCTGTTTTCTGGGAAATAAGTATTGCACTACATTGACTCACTGCCATGAATTTCAAGATTACTGCTACATGAATCAGCAACTTGAATAAGGTGATTAAAGCTAATCTTTTCACTGTAAAATGGTTTTATTCTGAGATCGAAAAATATATTCCTGCATCCTTTCTCTTACAGAAGATGGATTATGACTTGACTTTTGCACAAGCCCCAAAAAAGATAAGATCAGAAAGAACTAACTAGCAGGCCAGATTAGAAAATATGCACCACACATCTCTACGATTAATCAATCAGTAAGCAAAGGGCAGGTTATCAGTCAGCCCACGCGGGCATGTCTCCAGCGCAGCACAAAGACCCTGTAGAACCGGTTTGGTACTTTGCTTCCCCATTGGCGTCTGGATGACAATGGAGACTGCAGTATCTGGAGAGGACAAACTATCCCTCAAATCTGCCGTTTGTCTCCTTTTCACAGCACAGAGGACAGACAATGACATCTGCCCAGCAGACATGCACTGACTCACCACAATCTGCAATAAAACAAGATAACAAGAAGACTTAAAAGATTAACTTAAACATCTAATGATCAATAGCTCGTAAATTGTGCTATTTTTGACCATAATTATAGTAATGGTTGCTAAGACTTGCATCATTGCTTTTGTTAAGGTTTTTAAGTGCACTATACATTTTTCAAGTGATGAGACTTACAGTTTTTACTCACACTAAAGGAGAGACCCAAGACATATCTATATATAATGATGAGGAATTTTACTAGATGTCTCGTCACAGTCTGGATCCACCTGGATTCCTTTGTTGATTGATCTTTCAGCTGCATGTTTGACAAGGAAAACATTTACATTACATACAGTATGTGCTCCAAGTACACAATGTTCAGAATTTCCTGGAGCACAGCAGAACAGCCGTAACCTACAAAGCCTGAGAAGAAATATGAAATAATCATAATAGTAAAAAAAGAAAGTAATTTATTGAACCTTTAGATAAAATCTAAAAAACATGTTTTGTAGCCTATGTTTTTGATTTGTTTCGTATTTTTCATTTCATAGCTTTGTGTCATATGGGCTTTTATGGCCCATATGATATTGTGAGAATATGGAGCTCATACTTCAGGAGGGGGAAAAAAATCTCAATTTTATTAAGAAATATTCAATTTGCCACAGTTTCTGTTATTTATATGGCCAAAAAGTAAAATGTATTTCTGATAATGTAAATCAATTAGATCCTTATAACAGTATAACAGTTTCCACTCTGTATCTCTCAATCTACGGTAGTAAGATTATATTTAAATACTTAATTTTTTATCAAATCCCTGTAGTTTTTATTTTGGGAGGGCGAAACATATAATGCAATGCAATGAAGATGCAGACAAAACTGATAAAAGTTCCACAACTGCCTGTTGTATAGATATTGACATTTTAACACTTTGACATTTTATTTATTTTTGTATGTTGAATCAATTAACCTAAGTTGCTTCAGTCCACTAAATGTTTATTAGGGCTATATTAGGGCCTACTAAGAATGTAAAAATTATTAATTTAGATACAAATCATCAGAGATTTCACAGTAAAAAGACACGTGTACCGAGATCTGAATGGGGACAATTCATTAACATTATAAAAGGCCTTTTACTTGCTAAAAAAAAAGTATGAACTACCAATAAGAGGGCAGAAGGCATAGAAAATTCTGTGAAATAAGTTTTTCAGCAAAGTATATCATATAAAAGTGATATGACACGAAACACTTTACATTATTACAGATAAAAAAGGATCCAAGAGAGACAGTCTTGACTCAGATTCATTGGATCACACGAGTCTGTTTAGTTTATGTTGTAATACAACGACAAACACTGAAACATCTGAATAAATGTATGCGCAACAATATTCAATGACTTCGCAATCAACGCACAAGATGTTATGAATATAGTCAAGGTTAGAGTGTTGCTTGCATGGCATTAAATGTGTAGTTGATTTCATGAAACAATGGCTACACTTTGCAAATATTAAGAACATATAACTATTATTTGCATATAAGAATAAAGGCAAGCTATCAGTGCATTTTCAAACCACTGTGTATTTTAAAACTGCTTGAAATGCATCACTCAGCCATTTTCCACGTTTCTGCTCAGGAAGAGAAAGCATGTGGCTGCCCCGCCCCCTTTCACCATCCACCCAATGAAATACCCACAAACTTCCATACCCCGCCCCTAATTAAGCGCGTAACCTTGCACACAACGAGGTGCTTGGACGTCGCCGAACCGCCCTCTTTCACTATTCAGCCAATAAAATAGTTGGCCAAATTTGCATATACTTCCCCTAACTAAGCGTCTAGTCAAACAGTTGCGCCTTTTCTGCGTTTCAGGCCCGTGTTGAAACCTGAAGTTTTGCAAAGATATTTTCTCAGATATTCAAATCGAAAAGGCTCCGTTTTTGAAAAAGTTGCTCGTATATAACGGTGTGAAATCATTCTTAACAATGGATGATCAGATGGGTATAAGCTCCACGACACCTTCATATGGCTTTCAGCATGAAGAAGAAGAAGAATACCGAGCAGACAAACACAAGAACTCGTTGATGGATGAAGCAGATGATTTATTGGAAAGAGAGGCAGATGCTAAAGCTCCAGACGACGATGATATCTTGGATCTGGCTGGAGGAGCTAAAGATGCGCTGGAGAGGCACAGGTCCACACTGCCACGTACCGAAGAGCCTCTGCTGGACTTAACAGAACCAGAACCAGAACCATCATCCACCTCTAAACCAGAGCCAGAAGCTGTCAAACCAGCACCGAGCAGTGCGTTTGGAGACGCAACAACAAAAACGACGAAATCAGAAGAAAAAGATGAGAAAACAAGAGTCACGCCATCCCAATCTAACTCTTGTTGCTCATGTAAGTACATTATGTATTTGTATCTTATCATTTTGATTTGAACCGAGGATCTGTAAGTATTATCACTAACTAAAATAAGCATAATCAACTGTTTTCTTTTTAATCCACCCAACATGTTACACCCATAGACTGTTGACATGACGTCAGATCCGTTTGAATTATTAACGTTACATGTATTAATCAAGACTGGCTTACTTTTTACCTACCTTTTCGATTGCAGTAATACAGTTTGAGGTTTCTGCTTTATATTTAAGTCTCCGATTCATATTTCTTGGGCTTATCTCAAGTGTTTTAACTGATGCTTATGCAGCATGAGTTAAAAAAAAAAAGCTTTATGAACTGGTTGCAGTCTAGAAATTGCCATATAATACTGACTCATCTAATGTGATTACAAATAATGTTTGCCAGCTTCGTTACTGCATACTTTGAACAGCATTTTGAAATAATGATAATTGGGGAATTTTAACGTCATCTTGATGGCTTTCCTTTACTGCCATCTTGTGGAGTATGTGTTAATGACACGAAAATACATAAACCCACGAAATTGTGCTAGTTGTCAAACTGTTTTTATTAGAATTTTTTTTTTTTTTAATTTATGTGTCTATTTGTATAAAACTGTTTTTAATTCAGCTCCACATACTTAATGGTCACCTCCCTATTGTAAATAAAGTCTGGACAAAGGTCAGTTTAGTTAAGTGACCGAGTTTACTCAGAAGTGTCATTGACATTGAGGAAAACGCAATGACCCATAGTCACAATGGACTTCATAAATCATTCATTAGACATTCATGCTTCAGTGAAAGCCTGTCATAATCATTACAGCCTAAATTACAGATCGTGTCTGAACACTAACCTGTTACCTAAAGCAGTAAAATGCCCATTTTTCTTAATGTCATACTAAACCAAGACTTTGCACACACCAGCTACATAAGTGAATTGTAGGTAGGTCATTATGAAAGGTGCATTTTCCATTTTGATAAGCTGTTTTTTTTTTTATTTAAAGTTTCAAATATTTTTTTTTCAGATAAATGTTAAAGTAGTAATAAATAGCATTGTGTCATTTTGATTTTTAAAATGTTCACTTTTCATAATTTGCCCCAACAAAGTTAATGGTAACATTAACCCCTTAACTGTCACCCCCCATTTTTTTAAATAGGCATGCAGGTGCACTATCCAAACTTAAATTGTTGTAATTTATGAACACTTTGGAATACAGACATAAGGTTGGTCTCTTTTTAAAGAAGAAAATCAGCAAATTATCGCAAAAGTGGAATTTTTTCAAAAACGTATATATAATATATATTATATAATAAATATTTTACATATCAGGTTTTACTCTAAAATTTGTATAACATTATAGCCTTATGTCTAAATAAGTTATGTTCCAAATTTGAAGTTGATATGAAAAAAATTGAGGTTCCTGTGAGATTTTATTTGGGGCGTTATACCACAAACAGCCACCGGGTGCCATCCAAACTCCATCCTTGTACTTCCAGGTCATGAAAATAAAAGGCACTTATATATATATATATATATATGTATGTATGTATGTATGTTAATTAACCGTGTTATTATTAACATTTAAAATTAGCTTTTAGTTTTTTAACTTTTAAGACAAATTAATTACACAATTAAGACAAATCCAGTTAGTTATTAGTTAATAATAATAATAAGAATTTTGGTGCTTATTGTTTCTGTAAAGAAAACCTAAAATATTCTCATTTTTATTTCCATTTACTCAGAATGTGTGCAATTGCTCATAGGAACACTGAGGACAGGCCAAAGGGCATCCACATCAAGTTATTTTTGATAATGCATTTAGAAGAATTAACTGTATGTGTATTACTCAAACGGCGCCCGGGTTGTACAGCGACTCAGCTGATGTTGTGCTAAAACCTCATGTTACTAGTACACGGCGTTCAACACCTTTGAATGTGGTCAGCTGACCTCAGCAGTGCTGGCCTTTGCAGAACGTGATCAGGCAGCTCTGCTAGGAGAGCCTTAGCGTCTCAGTCTCTACCCTTCAGTCCTGTCCTGCCCCAGCCAGAGACTCGTGCCTCCTTCCTCACCCCCGACCACCTCTTCTGCAGACCTTTGACTGGAATGTATGACCGATGCACGCCAATTCAGACAACACGCCTTCTATGACAACCTCAGGGATGGAGATAAAGCACTGGAAAGAACAGGGTACATGCTTGTTTTGCCCTAAAAAGCCTGAAAATGGACTAAGGAGACCATTTTTCTGCTTGCTTTGTCCATAAATGTCATTGGGTAAAGCTGTGAGTAAGTTTTGCTCAGTTTTGAGGTCTTGCTTGCAAAGGTGCTCGTGGGAGAGAATGTTCTAGTTGCGCTGAGTAAATGGTCTGGGGTGTCTTGATTACAAAGCATATTGCAGCGTCAAGCATTTATCCCTCTGCTAGAGAGTTCTCTTGGCAAACTGCCTGTTTGTGGCTGTGGCACAGAATGTTGTACTGACTGCATATTCTGAATTCAGTGCATTTTTGAAAGAAGTTAATGAATATGATGTTTTCTGCTTGCTTTGTCCATAAATGTCATTGGGTAAAGCTGTGAGTAAGTTTTGCTCAGTTTTGAGGTCTTGCTTGCAAAGGTGCTGGAGAATGTTCTAGTTGCGCTGAGTAAATGGTCTGGGGTGTCTTGATTACAAAGCATATTGCAGCGGCAAGCATTTATCCCTCTGCTAGAGAGTTCTCTTGGCAAACTGCCTGTTTGTGGCTGTGGCACAGAATGTTGTACTGACTGCATATTCTGAATTCAGTGCATTTTTGAAAGAAGTTAATGAATATGATGCAGCGTGTCAAACTATTTACCACAACTTGAGGAGTCGAGGCAATATGAGGAGCAATTTATTGTTTATAATTCGATTTTTTTTGTGTTGGCATCATTAAGCACTTTGTCTTGTAGCTCTTCTCAGATTCTCGGAAGGGGAGGCAGTGCTGTTTAAATTGTTTATGCAAGTTGGCACTGATTGTGGCAATGAAATCAAGCTGGGAACATGTAATGAAGGGTGACGTCTATGCTAAACTTTTGTGAACCCTGAATGCTGGCTTATGAAAGGGTTTCCTGGATAGACACCTACAGTGCCTGACTTTAGGATAGAATATGGCCGTTTTGGGTCAAGATTCGCCTTTTTGCCTTTCATGAGTTCCAGTTGAATTATACAATTTTTAGCCAATTTTATGTAAAAGTTATAAAATGGCTGGTTATCTTTTTTTTTTTTTTTCTTTACGTTTTTGGTTTCCAGGCTTCCATACACTACTGTTAAAAGGTTTGAGGGCAGAACTATATATATATATACCCCCCCTCAAAAAAAAAAAATTATATATATATATATATATCTCAAACGTGACAAAAACAAGATGTTACTTTTTACTTCAAATAAATGTTCTTTTTAACTTTATATTCATCATTGAATCCTGGGGGAAAAAATAATCAAAATGTCTAGAAAAAAAATATTAAGTAGCACAACTTTTTTTCATCATTGACAATAAGAAATATTTCTTGAGCACCAAATCAGCATATTATAATGATTTCAAAAATACCATGTGACAGACTGCAGTAATAATGCTGAAAATTTTGCATGGCCATCACAGGAATAAATTACATTTTTAAATATATAAAAATAGATAACCGGTATTTTAAATTCTAACAATACTAAACAATATTACTTTTTTTTTTAACCAAATAAATGCAGAGATGTTTTTTCAAAAGCATTAAAAAATAAGGCCAACTGATGGCTGTCTAGCAATCCGTGTTGGACATAAAATAAATAAAAATAAATGAATACATTTTTAGTTTAAAAAAAGGTCAGCTGGCCAAACGTGTTTGTTGCACGCACGGTCTCTGATATTTTGTGGACTTTTATTTTGTATCTGATCTGCTCGGTGCTTTTCTTGATCTGAAATGTGCTGGATTACGCAGGGACTTTTGTTTTGAAATAATCAAATTTGACCGGAACTGCCATTTGTCATTGGTTCTGTGTGCTCGTCGTGTGTTCTTGGCCCTGGCTGTCTGATCGCAGATGAGCGAGATGGATTCCAAGCAAGGTTAGTTAGTGAGTTAGACCGTTAAACGCTCTGTAATTGCGTCCCTCCTCCAGGCGTCACACTTGATTTTATGCACATTTACACTTCAATTCGTATTTACACGCACTGTCGTTGATTTAGGATGAAATCATGATGATAAAATGCAGTTTTTATTGCGGGGGGTCTTGATGAGTCCGCAGGACTTGACGTGTTTTCAGACGTGCATTATAACAGTACACATTAACTTGAATATTTCTGAGCAGATATGTATGCGTTGGTTTTCGAAAATGTGATGCATTAATACTTTGTGAAATGTTCAGTTTCGATAAGCTTATGCAACGGTCTGTTAGCAAGAGTACAAGAGGAAGGGCAGCATGTTCTTCTGAGTTATTGATTAAATACATCGGCTTTTTGGATGGATGATGTTTGTCTTCAGAAATGCAGTGAGAGAAGATACCGCATGCTTGTTTGCCATGAACTCTGATCAGACATATTGGCACATTTTGTAGATTAGGTTTAATTATTGAAGGGTCCTTGACTGACTGGGAGGTTTCTGTCCTATTTTTATCCTCCCTCAGCACGAACAGACTAGGTTTGCTGTAAAGTCAGAATTCAGCATGATGGTGGAGTTATTTTCTGTTTCTGAAAGGAGTTTTGGTGTTCAATGTGGTCACAAATAATTTGTATATTGAAATAATCTGTTCCATATGCTCATCTGGGAAGCCACCAGCACATCTATAGCAGATTTCCTCATATTTATTAAAAACGGAGCACGTTTACTTGCACATCACTTTCTGATTAAAATCTGTATTCAGTCTAAGCCTCTACTAAGAAAACTAGTGTTTTAATACTCGACCGCTATTAAAGCATTTCTGCATTTGTGTGCAATCAGCATATTTCTAAATGAAAAAGGCCAGGTATTCAAAGAGCATTATTTTGGCCAGTCTGATTCAATGATTAATATTGGCAATTTTGAGATGATCAGAATTGGTTAATAACTGCCTGATTGGACATTTAACTGAAGTACCTAAAACTGTATGAAACCAAAAGTTGGTTTTATATTTCTGCTTGCAATGAATATTATAATGAAAAGGAATTGAGTTAAATTACTGTGCAGAATTACTATAAAATTATTTTATGAAATAAATACATTATAAGAATTAAATAATACTGTTTAAATTCAGCAATGTTGTATATATTAAGTAATGTTTTTAGAGGTTTTGTGTGTGTGTGTGTGTGTATAATATATATATATATGAAATAAAATACAATTCAATGACAAGTGTTTAAATAAAGCAATTTTGTATATTAATTTAAAAAAAAGGTTTTATATAGAGAGTGTGTATATAAAATATATATTTTTAACGAAGTTGCTGAATTTAAACATTTAAACATTGGGTTGTGTGTATAAAATATGTATTTTTATAGAACGGTTGAATTTAAACACTTAAGCAAAATTGACTAAATATTTTTTACGTGTGTTTGTGTAAAATAAATACATATATTTTTACAAAATTGCTGAATTGAAACACCAAGCAATGTGTAAAAAAAAATAAAAATGTATATATTGTAGTAATTTTACACAGTAATGTAACTCAATTCTCGTTCACACACAATTTGAAAAATAAAGGTCATGAGACCGTTTACTGTTAACATGATTTTAAGAATGTTCATGTGCATGCAAAAAGTGTTCATTCCTTTTTGCATTAAAGCAGAAAGTTGCATCATCTGACTGTTTGGGGCTGACGTAACTCCTTTCTGTCGGCAGTGGTGGACCTGCTGTATTGGCGAGATCTGCAGAGGACGGGGGTGGTGTTTGGAGCCAGTCTGTTCCTGCTGCTGTCCCTCAGCGTGTGCAGTATTATCAGCGTGATCTCCTACGTGGCCCTTGCCCTGCTGTCTGTCACCATCTCCTTCAGGATATACAAAGGCATTTTACAGGCTGTTCAGAAGTCAGAGGATGGCCACCCCTTCAAGTGAGGACCCACACGTATCGCACACATTGTAGTGGCATCAGTCTCGTGCATTTCCACACCATGTTTTGTTCACTTTGCGTTGCCTGAGTGTAAAACGGTTAGGATAATCCTGCTTTGATCAGTTTGTGTTCCAGTTTCTGTAAGAAGGCAGATCTGTGGAGCTTAGCTTCTGGGCTTACATGAGGTGCTTGGTTTTGATTCCCTGCCAAAATTTTAAGCCTCGCTTGTGAAATAGAAAAAAAATCCAGCCACTTAAAGAATCTTAAAGTTGTTTTGGAAGCAAAGTGGTTGCAGTATCTTTTGTATCTCTTTGTTTCAGGCTCTGTTCCAAACCTAGTGAGCCGATTTGCCGTCTACTGCATAGTCAGCTACCTTCAAAGGCAACATCTTAATTGAAATGAAACCTCTTAAGTAGTACATTTGCAACGCTCTACATTGGCAGCAACTTTCTTGCTCTACACAAAAGAGGCTTCTTAAGCAAATCGCACAGGAGTCCTGACTCACAGTTTGATGTTAGCTTGTTTATTTGAAAAAGCATATGGCTAATTGTTTTGAGATGGCTAAAACATAAACTCTTGTTTGTTTTTAATGTGTAATAGTACAAATCTCATTGTATCTAATTCATGTTTTCTACAGCTTTTCTCTAAATGACAAAAAGAGAGAATTATTTACAATCGTATTCACTGCAGGAAAATAGCGGTAATAAAAAGCCATTTTACAGCAATTTGTATTTAATTGTTTTAAATGGGTAAAAATAACCGCAAGACACGAAAGAATCGTAAAACTAGGTAAATGGTGTGGTCTTTAAAAAAACTTTGTGGCTAACTAAAAAGTGCAAAACTTGGAATTGAACCAGTTGCTTGGCAAAATGATTGGCTGTTTGGAAGTGGTCAGAATGGTGTCAGTACGCAAGCCAAACTTGCATAAAAACTCCTTTGACAAACCAATTGCAAATGTTTTATTGAAAGTGTAATCTATTAAATGCCATTAACAAATCATTTAATATCTCCAAAATCCAAACATAAAGTGTCTGTATAATTGTAGGGCTTGTTTTGTTTGTTGGGTAATCAAGCCAGTAAGAGTTTATTAACTACAACACTTTTTTTTTTTAATTATACAAATGTGTCATTTAAAAATGTCAAATACAAATTTGTAATACTCAACCGAGATCAGGTAAAAACCATATAGAGTAGAGATGCACCGATCGATCGGCCAGGGATCGGAATTGGCCGATTTTCCTCATGATGTCAGACTGCGCTAATGCAACACGCATCGCTGCGGACGAGTAGCTGAGGATCTCTTCAGCAAGCTGACGCGCAAACTGCCGCAAATGAAACTGAAAGACGCAGACAGTCAACACACAATCATCTTCATTGCTGCGACGACTCTTCCTGGTGGAGGATCTGGTAGACTCGCTCAAGGTTTGTTCTTCCAGGAGACCAGAGGAAATGAAAACCTGAACCTGCTGTTTTCAGCTTAGCCTCTTTTATTTGATTTGGGGCTCCATAACTGCTCTCAGGGTGAAGATTGGAAAATAAATCTTGTTGTCTTGATGTTTTTCATGAGGCTGCTGAACAGTAATGCCTCTGTAAGCTGTACAGTTTATGCTAAATTTGATAAAAAGAGCTTTCTGAAGAAGTGGGCTAGAAATTGGCCAAAACAAAGAACTCGATACATATGTATATGAAAACAGTTCTGTTTATGAGATGTTGGATTGACAGATATGCATTTATATTACAGTCCGGCCAATATTGTGATATTTTAAAATTAATGAGCTAGCTTAGCCAATTAAATGGACTGTTCAAAATCTGACATCCACTTAATTCCTTAATGCACACTTCTATTTTCTTGAGTAATTGAGTTACAATTTTTAGTTTTTTTTTTTTAGAGAAAAATGTATTATTTTATTCCACAAGGATGCATAAAATAAAGCAAGAAGCCATGGTTTACAGTGAATAACAGCTAAGGGGCGTTGTTAGAAAACCCCCTTAGCTGTTATAAATTCACTGTAAACCACAGCTTCACGGGGCTTATTGCTTTTATTAAACGGTTATTCCATATATGTAGTAAGGTTTCACAGAATCAAAAAAGAACAAATAAAGTGTAATGAAATGAATAAAAACAGTATTCTTCCACCAAACAATGTAGTTCCTCAGAATCAGTTGTGGTTCCAACAAGTGGTTGCCAAGCAACACAGAAGTAAACAAAGGTGTATGTTTGTAGTGTAATTTACAACAGCTTTGAACAACCAATCAGAATCAAGGACCGGAACTATCCGTTTTATAAGTGACCCTTAATGTTATAACGTGTTGTTGTATAGTGAGATTTTCATGTCTGTGTAGATGGATGACGGTGATCAGAAGTGCTACAGTCTCTGCCAGCAGAACCCGCTATCTGAACCGGACAGAACTGGACTGAACCACGTAGAACCTGCCATGTGAACCGGACCAAACCAGGCTGAACCCCACAGAAACTGCCATCGGACCTGGACAGAAAAAAAACAAACAACAAACTAACAGACCAGTGCAGGCATATAGGGAGCAACCATCTCAGTATATATGTGTGTGTGTGTGTGTGTGTGTGTGTGTGTGTGTGTTGTTTTAGGTAGGCGTGGTTAACTCTTAACTTTTATAAAGAATATCTCTTTGGTTTTGAGATTTTAGTGTTTGCAACTTTACAGATCTTCTTTATGCACCAAGAGCTTGTAACACTCCAAAGAGAAAGGAAAAATTGAAATCGCATCATATGACCCCTTTAATGCCGTCACATGACAAGGTTAGCTGCAAGATCGTGAATGGATAGCTGGACTACACTTTCCACCCCACTATGCGTTGTTGCTCAAATGCCCATGTTGCCATGCTGAGGGCATTCCAGTTCTGATGAGTTGGTCAAAAATAAGACATTTAAATAATAATATATATTTTTTTAAATTAATAAATATACATTTAAAAAAAAAAAAAAAACTTTGAAAATATTAATGATATTACTTCTGAAAATTCACTCTGGGCCTGTAAGCCTAAAATTGTTGACAGTAGCAGAACTAGAGGTCACAAGTCATCTGGTTTACTAAAATACATGTTTGGATCCAGGGATAAGCGCTTCTTAATCTTGCGTCAAAGCATCTGGCATTTTAAGGAGTCGCCGTGTTCGAAGCATAGTTTGTGGCGTAATGGAAAAGCGCCACTAACATTAATGTTAAATCAGCACCTCGTGGCTTTTCTTGGCGCTGCATTGACCCACGTCTCAAACGCAGGGGAGCCCAGTGGATGGAAGCATCCGTGTAAGGAGATTTACTGCCCTGTGAAGGGGGCGGTGGTTATGGGCTGTGGATAGAGTTACAGCCTGACCCCGCTGCCCTTTCAGAGCTCTGGAGGTCTTCCGCAGTTGGACGGTTAGGTTCCGTCCCAGCATTCAGTCTCTCTGTGGTCAGACGGCTATATTGAGTGACGTGTCCAGTTACGAGTGACAGTTTATGTGCCGGTGGGTTCTGAACAGGCTCTGCCATTTGTTGGGTCAGCTTGCAAAAAAGGGGTCGGCCTTCTATTTTGAGTTCAAGTGAAACGTTTTTGAGCGTACAATGACAATTTATGAAAATGGTCAGTTATTAGGCATTTAAAAATACACTTTCGAAACACTGATCCATTTTGATCAGTTATAATTTAGCTTTCATTACAATTTTGACCATCTTTCTGACTCTTGAGAGTTTTTATTAGTAAGAACAGAACATTTATTTTTGTTTGTTTTATTTTTTTGTAACGTCTATACTGTAACTTTTTTTTTTTTATCAATTTAATGCATCCTTGTTGAATAACTTATTTTTTTAATACTGTTACACCTTGCGTAAGTTTTGAAATGCATTTCTCACAGTGTTTCCTCTGGCCTGTTGGAAGTATGTTGACATGGCTTCTTCTCTTCTTCCAGTTTGCAGTTCTCATGTGGATCCTGACCTATGTTGGTGCCTTGTTCAATGGTCTGACCCTTCTTATTTTGGGTAAGTCCATTTGGGACTGTAGTCCTATTAGTTTATTATTCGTTTGCAGTTAATTGGCACTTGTCAGAATTTTAAGAATATGCCGTAATTTTCAAAATGTGCTTTTTCTTTAGGTCTCATAGGTGCTTTCAGTTGGCCAGTGATCTATGAAAAGCATCAGGTATGTTTGGCATGTGTATGCATTGATAACTTCTGGCTTAGGCAGCTGTCGTGGTTGATTAAGTATTTATCAGAGTCTTCAGTTTCAATAAAACTATAATGTATACCTGAATGCCGTAATTATTCTTTTTCACTCCTAATGCAGGCACAAATTGACCATTACTATGGACTGGTGAACAAGCAAATCAAAGATGTTTTGGGAAAGTAAGTCTGTTTACATTGTGAAATATATGACTGGTGTTTTCTTCAATAAACCAGATGAAAAAATTGTTTTATGATGTGATGGTGGAACAAGAGAAGACAGACAGAATCGTGTTTGGTTTGGAAAAAGGCCTTAGACGATGCAATGTAAACTTTACCCCCTCCCCTCCCCCTAGTGTTTGAATTGTTAGCGTAACTGAGAATGAAATCTTTTTAAACCTCTTATCAGTTTCTCTCACAAGCAGAGTCATCACTCTTTCACAGTAGATCTAGTTCTCCATGTTTTGAAGTAAACACCGCTACGTAACACCATTACAGAATGTAGTCTGAGGAACTGATGTCGGCAAAAGCAGGAATCGATGAGGTTTTTCCATTTACTATTCGGTCAGTGAAGCGTTCACCTTGTTTGAAGGCCATTTTGATTAATTTCAGTATGATAAAGGGAGTGAAATGTTTTGGTTATGAAGTTCCTTCACAACAAGTCTTTTGTTTTTAGCTGTTTTTTCCCTTTTTCGTTTGTACTTGGCGTGCTCGAACACAGTGGTGTTGTGGTGTAACTGCGTTAAAATTGACGCAATTTAATTGTGTTAGAGGTTAAGAGGCTTCTAGTCTTCTGTAGCAGAGTTTAAGAGCAGCTTTATTTCTCACTTGTCTTCAAAGGGATCTGTTATGGCATATTGCACCCAACTATCCATTGTTTTTAGCTGTTTAGTTAAAAACAAAAAAGCAAACTAGAACGTCTGCTGTGTTGGCCTATCACCTTCCTGTCATGTCAAAATCAACAACATGTTTGCAGAATTTGCCGTCTCCATCGTGGATCGAATACCTGAAACGGCACACGCTCTAAAAACTCGCAAACTTCAAGCACCGTTTCTTCATGCAGGTCATTTGTAAATGATAATTCAGTTTTGATGAAAATATGCTGAAGACTGTCTGTGAAATGCATTGTGAAAATAAGCCAATAAAGTACCAATAAAGCTTGTAGACAAACTATTTGGGGTTTGTGCCTAATTTGAAGCTCTGTTTGATATTTACAATGCAGTTTGTCACATGTACTTTGGCGCCATCCAGTGGTGCTGTGTGGAAGTGTAGAATTTGATCTGATTTTGTCATTTTGAGCATCAGTCATATTCCTGACATTAACAAGAATTTTACTTCAAATCTCAGATATACTGCAAATGACATTCACCTTGTGTAGTTTCTATGGTATGAGATATTTACATGAGGGAAAGCTGGTTATTCTGGGAACAAAAATCAGCATTTTTCTACCCTTATAATAGTGTAACAGTCAGGCTCTTTAAATAAATCACGATAATTTGCTCACACTTATTTCCTCTTTCTCAACAAATTATCTTTGGATAAAGGTGCTTTCAGAACCTGCAGAAAAGTGTGTGTGTATATATATATATATATATATATATACAGTGGGTACGGAAAGTATTCAGACCCCCTTAAATTTTTCACTCTTTGTTATATTGCAGCCATTTGCTAAAATCATTTAAGTTAATTTTTTTTCCTCACTCATGTACACACAGCACCCCATATTGACAGAAAAACACAGAATTGTTGACATCTTTGCAGATTTATTAAAAAAGAAAAACTGAAAAATGCTCAGTATTTAGTAGAAGCACCCTCTTGATCTAATACAGCCATGAGTCTTATTGGGAAAGATGCAACAAGTTTTTCACACATGGATTTGGGGATCCTCTGCCATTCCTCCTTGCAAATCCTCTCCAGTACACACATTAGACATTTGTCCATGTCTAAATGCTTTTGGAAAAAAAAAAAAACCTAAAGAAAAAAAAAAAAAACAAAGTATGAAATATGTAAAAATAAAAGGGAAAAAAACAGCATTGTATGGTTTATTGTTTTAATAGAATTAAAACTATTTTCTCTCTTTCTCCACACACACAAATATCTATCTATATAAATATACATATGCATACTTGAGTATATGTATATATGAATGTGTGTTTTTGAAAGAAACGTGTCCGACATAAGCTAAGCATTTGATGTGTTTAATGACTTTTTTTGATTTATTCATTTTATGACATGGTACTAAAAAAAAATTTGATTTTATGTAATACTTAAAATGGAATGAATTCAACCAATTTCTACATGCTCATGAAAACAGATATAAAATAAATAACCCCTGCAACAACCAGTTTAAGCACTGATAAACAGCATAGGCCTATTTTCAGTAGTTCCCATTTTCTAACTCTAAAAAAAAAAGTCATGTTCTTAAACTGCCTTTAACTCACTGAACTCCGATCAGTCTTCCACTGGCCTTCATGCCTCCAATCACTTTGTGTGCGCAAGAGAGAGAGTGATGAAGTGTTGTGCAGCCATTCATTTGAATGAAGATTAGGTCATCCTGTTGTGCTGGAAAGATCATTAGGAACAGGTGCGCATGCAGCCAAACAGATTACCAGACTGCCTTTCTGAAATGAACTTTCTATTGATTGCTGGCCTTTTTTTAGGGAGCAGGGGAGGAGAGGTAAGCCTTGTTTTTCTCTCGTCTCGGCTGAGCACAGATGCTTCCGTGCTGGGAAGATAATTTGCTGCACGGAGGGCCACTTTCCTCTCATTGGCACGCGCCTCATGCCTGCTCTTCATTCCATTCGCATTATGACTGCTATTTACTCAGGGATAAATTAGAAAGTTACATCAAATGAAAATTACCAGAGGGCTAAAGGAGTACATTCATATGGCACTAATAAAAATGGGACATAATCTTGTATTCTGGCTTTTCTAGTGTTTTTCCTGAGATGCTTTTATGACCTGAGGCAAGAAATCAGAAGAAAAAAACCAAAAGAAAGACAAAAATTGGACGCAAGCAATGTGCTGTCAAAGTTGATTTTGATAGAGAATTGTCAAAATGATGGTGAATAATTTTTCCATAGTGCTTTTCCAAATACGTGACCTTATGGACCCCTTGTATGTGCCCCTGTCAGAGCTGGTTAGCATCTCTCCAAACATGATAAAACGAATACAGACAGCAGCCAAGCGACTTTGCATCCCCCCCAAAAAATGCAAGCACACTCTCGCAGTGTATTACTGCAAAACTATGCCGTTACTGAAGATTTCTGAAGAGTCACGCCACTAACCCATAATTCTTGTAATAACAGTGTCTGCATATGTGTCCAAAACTAGTAACTTGAAGTCATACATTAAATGAATTTGTGTCACAGGCTTCAGAAACCATGCAGGACCCCCAGATTTTAACACTTGTTTTGGTCTTGGCTCACACTTTCAAAAAGGCTTCCTTCATGAAACAAGCGTGAAAAGAGAAGTCTATAACATCACATTACTGCTCTGTGGATATGTGGGCTTCAGACAGGTGCAGAGAGAGGAGTAGATTAAGGCAGGGCATTTGGAGCGGAAATTGGGTTCTTTTAATTTCCCTCTGACAATGCTGACAGATAATTGAAAATGATGCTAAGGTAATAGACTCACACACACATACACACTTTGTGTAATGTTGAACCGCCGCTTTCAAGATAAAGGTCATACTTGAGTGTGTGTGTATGTGTATGTGTGTGTGTGTGCATTTCGAAATAACATACTAGCATACTATTTCTGCAGTAGGCTGACATAGGTACACTATGCACAACGCAATTTTTATGCATGCATGGAATAAAGCAGTTATGTTTTTTTGTAGGCCAACCTGCAAGTTCATATCAACCTAGTTCCCTTTAGAAAAAATTTGATTTTTCCTTTGGCTTTTGGATTATTGCAGAAAATAACCTCCGTGACCAACAACAGTTTATGATCAACACGTTTTGTTCATGATAATCTTAACAAATGAACACAACTCTGAATTTTGAAGCCTAGATACAATCCCTATAAGTATACAAACATAAGCTATAAATCAACTACATCACTATAAAATCACTACCATTAAATTTCTGACGACTCTTTCAGTTTTTCATTAAAAATGAAAAGTTTGAGTTTTCAATAGCACGATTATAAACACACTTTAAGCGATTATAAGTAAAAGTACTTTACTTGAGTATAAATGTTTCTATTGACTTTTTCATCTCTATATTTTGAAAAGGAAATGAATACTTTTACACTGGAAACATTTCTTCAAACGCTTTCGTAACATTTGCTACTGCAAACAGTTGGAAATGTAGGCAGCATGTGGCGATACCTAAATCGCGAATGAATCAGTTGAGTCGAATCTTCGTTTAAATTCGATTCTTTCGAATCTGTCAAACCAGTTCGCAAAGAGTCTGATCCGGAGTCACGAATCTGAGTTTAAATCTCAAGACAAACACGCCAAACAATCTGTGGATCTCCATTAGGGAATCTAAAGATGCTGCTCGTGTAAGTTTTAATTTGTAATGGCTCTGAATTAATTTGATACATGTTTGCTTAATAATTGTGAATGCTATGAAGTAGGCTACTGATGACGTTATGTCCGATAAGAATTGTTTATGTGATGGAACTCTCCTGCATTTCTCTTGTTTTGTGGTGTTTACATGAGTGCAGCAGATGCTAAGGTTTTCCCAGCGTTTTTTCCCCTTTGCTGTGTTGTTACTAGGGTGTTCTGGCTTGTTTTTAGGTCTTTTCTCTTTTATGTTAAAGTGGATTAATTCCTTTTGTTTAATTTGTAATGTGTCGGATTGTGTCAAAGAGCTATTGTGGTAGGACTACAACACTCTGTTGCCAGTGGTAGGCTATAATAAAACTGACTTGTGGTTTTGATATTGTAGTATTTTTCACATGAAAAATATTGTAACTTGGGTCGATTTCCATAAAGGTATCTTTACGATGATTGCACACCTTATACAACCTTGGTTATACTGCACAGTATTCAGTAGGCTAAGCACTGAGCTTTCTGAACATAGGCAGGGTTTATACCAGGATGCGCATGTCTGTCTTTACATCCAGGGCTATAATCTCATTCCTGCTCACCCTTCACAGATGCTGTTTGGATGTGTGACAGAACCTCTTATCCAGCAGTGAATATTACCCCATCTACCTCTGCCCTGGGGTGTTAAAAACCCTGTGATTCCAAAAACCTGCACTGACAGACATC